TTTTTGATAGCGTTGTATTTGGAGGTTGTTGTGAAGCGATACATGCGCTATGGAGAGGAGCGATAGGGTATATATGTATGCATGAGTGGACGCGTGTTCGCGTGTTAAATGACGCTTGATATTGTTGTCGTGTGCGACAAACATTATCGTGATTTATGCAGTAAGGGGGTGTGAGAGTCAGCCACAACGATCACATATCGTGTAACTGACACTATTGTTTTTATTTACGGAAACAATCGTGACGGTCGCAACATGATGTAATGATCTGTTACACTACACTAGGCAATATATCGATATCCGTTGTGCTTTACTATTGGTTGACAGTCGCAGACTCTCACGATTCTTATTGCATAGATAACGACATTTATACTTACAAGGTTGCGTACGACAGCAATTGATAATACCGAGTAATACCAATATATGTCGTCTTCCCATCTAACACGTAAACACGCGTCTTCTCATACATACATACATACATATATCTATCTATCTATCTAGACGCTTCTCTCCGTTGGCACATGTATCGTCTCACCTCACAATAAACTCTCTACAACGAACAGTTACTTCATATCACACTTGGAACAAGTATTCAAAACGATGCAGTTTATCAACTGCGTAACCGATACTCATATAAACACACGTATATCCAAACAGCGTAACAAACCTTCGCCGCCACTTCATATTGCGCACATACGACAGTTCCTACAACTCACGAACAAGCCTTTGAAACGACGCGGTTTATCAACCAACCACGTAACCGATACTCATATACATCCAAACGCTATTCTCCACTGAACAACGGCATCTACAACAAATCACTTCATATTGCGCACATACGGCGGTCACTGACGCGTTTATTTTTCATTAAAAGACGAGTTCCGTAGGCAGTTTAAACACGAGGTAAGAATTCTTACCGAGTATCTGTTGAGAGTTTGTATCCTAAGTACGCTGCCACTAGGTGTAAATCGGAGGTTTAAAAGCACATAGGGTGTGTAAATTAATCAAAACCCCGTTACCGAAAAAAAAAGAAGCCGTGTTTAAATCGGCTTTGTGGTGAATAGGATACACTTGAAAATACTTTGTGTTCGGGGGCCTGATTGATCTAAATAATTTACTTGTGTAATCCGTTCCAAAACGCCGCCTGTAGCTTATCACGCTCGGGCCTGTGGTGAATAGGATACATGGACCACTGAATTGAAAGCGCATCGTGGCCACAGCCCTGACATCGGTGACGCGCCTGTTGTGAACGTTCTTCATTGGTCCTTGACTACGATGATATGATTACTCATTTATTCTCCTTGTTATTATTAGTACGGAACGGGTCGATATCAAAGTAGGCTTCTTGACACACATACGACACTTTGCTACAACTCTCAAACAAGTCTTTTGAAACGACGACCGGCATATATAGTCGACAAAGGGTACAGGTACAAACATTCCGTCCCTGTGTACACATAAAAATATGCTTCTTCATATTAATTTATACCGCACTGAGGAAAACTGCATTATGCGTATGTTTATTAACTTACTCAGGTATTTGACGGATGTTTTTTCAAATAAATATCATATCTACTTATACTACTTGGGAATTACATACAAATCATCGAAGAGTTTTCCTGACACCGGAGCTTTGATATATGACTAGTACGAGGGTAAGTAGAAGAAAAGTAAAACAGTCCAACATTGGCGCTTTTTCTCGGTTATAGTAACTCTATTCGTACACTTGTTTCCGCGAGGCGCCATTGCGTTAGTGACCAATCACATCACTCTGTGAAGGAATCTCAAAGTATCCCCAAATAGTACCCTCCTCCTACACATCCCCCGGGTACAATTCAAAAACTTGAGGTGGTCTAGATATGTACCCGGGATACTATGTTCAGTGGTCTATAATCATGAAGACAACATAAAAATTGGATTAGTATTTGTAAAAAGAATATTATTTATCGATACTGATATATTGGGAAAATGACAACGCAAACTTTACTTTAAAAAATAGCAAACGTACCATAACCAATCAGATAAAATCGATTATTAGCATCAAGCGCTCGAAATATTCATTTCTCGACTATAAGGAACTGAGCTTATACGACATCCATAGGTATCGATTATGATATTCATTTCATTTTATAAAAAAAGTGGGGTTGGTTTTTACTAGCAGCGCAGCTAGTTTCAGCTTCAGCCCTTCCAAGTATTATGTTGAGCGATTATTGTATTCAAAGCTACCACTGCCGGCCTGTGTGAACGTTTTTTTTATCTTGACTATGAACATTTATTATTAATTGTTACTAGCTATGTTTAAAATTAGCGGGACTTTTGGGAAAAAGCACGTAGAAAAAATTTTTTGGCGAATAAGGAATTCATTAAAGCTTTAAGAAACGGAAACTATTGAAATTTTACTTTAATCTATAAGGTTGATATTATATTCAGAAATTAATTCTTCGCTAGTCGCCTATTGTTTCAAAGATCTCTTCTTCTATATCCAATCAATTTCAATTACTCAGTTGGTAGCCATCAAATTACTTTCTCTACATGCAAGTAGATAGATAAAACAGCTTAAACTGGACTTTAGGAGCACCTTATTGTGGTAAAGTTCCTCGCTATTGTAACTTAAAACTTATGATTTTCATATGATGCAAACTTCCCAAGTCAACGTGTTAGTGTGGAGTTAGCGTACAGTGTGAGACAAAAAAACGGGATTTTTTTTGCAACATTCAATCGTGCATATCTCACCAATTCGAGGTCGATCTAAACAATGTAAAATGTAAAATGATTGTCAGATAATAATAAGCGACTTTATATTTGAACTGCTTGTTTATACTAATACTACTTAACATTCTCATAGTACAGTAGTATTGCCCTCAATACATGTCGAAATTTTGAGTGTAAAATCAACGCATGATGAAGGATTTTACAAATGTGGGTCTATGATAACATTAGAAAACTCAAACGATCTGGAACTGTTCAGCGTATAGAAGGAAGCGGTCGCCCAAGGAAGATTGAAGCTAATGCATCAAAAGCATTAGCCCAATATATTCGGAGGGATTCTTCCATTTCTACAAGGACATTAGCAACAAGGTTATTTTCAGGCGGAGTGGACGTATCTTATATAGAACAGTAGGAAGGCATTTAGTGCAAAGTGGTTATCGAAAAAATCTTCCAAGAGCATCGCCAGTGTTGACTGAAGACGACAACCATCGCATCGGCGTATAGAAATGTAGTGATTTGCGGCGGTTTATGGGGATGATATTCCATATCAACCCTAATTGGGTTAGTACGATCAATGAAACGCCGATGTGAGCTTGTCATAGAAAGTAATGGTGAATAGTATTCCAGTTCCATACTAATTTTTTTTGTAACGAATATGTCACATTTAGCCACCGCAATGTACCACACGCTTCAAACGACACACGTACTGTTACCATAACGTTTAATTAACTCTAATATTATTTAAGAAAATCAATTTAATATAAGCAGAAATAGCCGACTTGACATTATCGAACTCCGCAACTTTTGTTCAGGCAGCCGATAATATGGTATACCAGTTTATCTCTTGATGTGCGACACGCAACAATTGGTGTAGCCGTCTATTCTTAAAATATGGTACTTTGATCGTGTCGCAATAATAAGTGGATAAATCAATGAATAAGCTTATTAAAACGAACGACTATTATCTGTTAAATACTGTACTGGCTAACGTGTTTCCATCGATCATGTCGGGGATACAAGTGGGAGGGCCTATTTGCACGAGTAAATCTTTTATTATTTAGCCACTCCAAGTAAACGTTATTTCAATGTAACCAAATGCGAGTCTTCTACTGACTGCGAGCATGTACTGTAACACTCGTTAAATATAAATGCCCATTATTTATCTCTATAAATACGATTATTGTTCTTGTATTAAAAGAGCGGTACGTCCGTTATTTGTTAATTAGGGTGTTCCATTGTACTTTAGTATTAGGCAAACTTGATTATTATGACCGAATGAAAAAAACATGAGGAATTTCGGTTGGACATAACAAATACGCCCGTTGCATTTGAATTGCGTACGCCCGATACCCAATTTCATTCAATAATGACAGATACGAAAAGACATTGATAGCTAGCTTACTGTTACTTATTACTGTTCTGTTTAAGAAATTAGATAATGAACCCTGTTCATAGACCGTCATTGCTTGTCATTCTAAGGTTTTTCGTCCTTTTAGATTCCATAGTAATAGTGTATTATTATAGTTCTATATTAATATCTCGTTTAATAAGTTGACTAATCACGTGAATAATACATGCTTATCCAGATAAGGAAAACGGGAATGTACACTTGTTTCGAAAGCATGTTGGCTATTGTTGAATACTACAAGTCAATCATGATTACTAATAAGGTCTTTGCAAATGACATTATTGACGTTTTTTGTATAGTTGGTTTACTATAAAGAGTAAACAAAATGGCAATGCTGTAAACTTTGTCTTCTTTCAATCGCTGAAATTCTTTTTCCCACTTGCTTGCTCCGTTAATATTAATTACCAGCCTCTTTGTTTATTACCATACCATCAACCCCGAACACAACATGCGACATCCAAAATGTTAAGCACCATCGCGATTGTATCGATATCTGTTGTTGGAACTTACCAATTTTGACCCCTGACATCTTTCCTGTAGTGTCATGTTCACTTTCTGCTTTTGCTGCAAGCATTCCCTTATACGGGCTCTGAACAAGTACACAGACGTTGAACCGCCTGTTATCGTCACATTTGTTGTTCAAAATCTAACTGCGATGATAATACGCTTACCTTTTCTTGATTGGCTTATGTTCTCGCTTTGGAAGTGTGCAACATTAAATAAAGTCGGAGACTATAGGGGATGTATCACTCGCAAACATTAAATAGCCAATCGTAACTAGTTAGCCCCTATTTATTGTCAGCTATAATTGCAGAATACCTAAATTTTACTCCGCCTTCGCGCGGCATATATCTCCTTTCTATATCCCAGTAGTCAACTTGGAGTGATGCCGTCAGCTACCGTTGAAACTAACTTGCCCGCAGTCCAGGCTACGACTGCTACAGACCCATCTACTAGAATATCCGACACAATCAATATCACAAAAATTATCACCGAAAACCTCATCTCTGAAAAGCTCACTGACAAGAGCGATATCGATTGTTCTTCGAATGCGGGCAATGCCGCACCAAAGTCTCCATCGTCACCCACTAAAACAACAAAACCTGATAATTCTACTAGTAATTCCGAAAACAAGACCAAGAATTCCGAAATTAATAGGAAACCAAGCAAATCGAAACAAACTTCAATTAAAGGTCAGCCAGGTGACCCAGTTAACAACTTATCAGCGCCATCACAAGCCAATTATCGAACTTCAAAATTGACAAGGTCACCGTCAGGACGGTCCAAAGAGACTACAGTCGAACGTAGGACTTCAAGGCGAGAGAAGAAAAATGCAACCGCAAAAATCTCGGACCCAAATAAATCTGATGTCAGATCTAACACGCCTCCTGGTACTTCTCAGGTCAAGCGAGAAGCTTCACGTCGTAAAACTGATACACCGCCTCATTTGAATCTGGCATTCAAAACTGATCCCCAATCGAAAGAGTCTAGCGGCCGTTCTTCTGCAGTGTCGCCAAAGATTAGGGAATTGCGCAAATCAGAGGCACTTCAGAACAAGTCTAGTGGTGACGAATCGGCATCTGACCGTCGTAAGACGAGTACTAAGTCAACCGGTGGTTCGAAACGTCGTCATTGGTCAGTCGCTAGACATGCAATCAAGACCACTACAGCTGTGAGAGCCAAGGGAGAAAGCGTCGACAAAGAGTTGCTCAAAAGATTAGAACAAGAGAATTCGCAATTGCCGCCACAGGTAGGAAAATTTTTTAAACGTGACGTGCCAAAATAATATGACAATGAATAACCCGTATTTGATCAATTGTAAACAGAATTCGACGCAATTTTTGCTCGCGCGCCTCGAGCGACAAAATGAGATACTCGATAGCGATCCAAAGTCAGTTTGCATTCAATCGAACGTTCTCAAAGCCAACCTTGATACAGTACAATCGCTCATCGAGGATACCAGTCCGACAGAAGAAGTATTTAAATCTGATATTACCGCTGATCCCAACGAAGACCATGCTAATACTGTCGATTGGGAATTTTGGACCGCGTTAATTCAAGATTATACAGCAGTTGCGACTAAACTCCCACACCTTCTTGCCGCAAAGCTGCAGCAAGGCCTCCCGCCAAAGCTGCGAGGTCTCATCTGGCAATCCATGTGTCAAGCATCCTCAACATATCTGGAAACTATGTATTCTCAGCTGCTCGAAGAATCCTCACCTTACGATCGAATCATTCAACGCGACCTTGCTCGTACCTTTCCAAATGTCGATCTATTCAAAAAAGAGGGTGGTGAAGGACAAACAAAGCTATGGAACATACTGAGAGCTTACAGTTTATATGATCCTCTGGTCGGTTACTGTCAAGGGTTGGGATTCTTGGTTGGACCACTGTTAATGCAAATGGAGGAAGCACAAGCCTTTGCTGTATTTGTACGACTCATGGAAACTTATGACATGCGATCTATGTTTACATTGAACATGGAAGGACTTCAGCTCCGTCTCTATCAGTTCTCTACTCTTTTAAGTCAAATACTTCCCAGGCTTCATACTCATTTCCAACTGCACGGTGTCCATGCTGCGATGTTTGCTTCGCAATGGTTCTTGTCTCTCTTTGCCTATACCTATCCTTTACCTCTAGTCCTTCGCATATACGACGTTGTCTTTGCTGAAGGTGCGCCCGAGACCATTATGCGTGTTGCCATTGCCTTGCTGCAAAAGAATGAAACACAGCTGCTCGACTTTGGCGAATTCGAAGACTTGCTCGATTTCCTGACTACCAAGCTCTATTTAGCCTATGATGAAAAGCCAACTGGTTTAATAAAAGACGCAATGGCTTTGAGTTCAGTAATCACCAAGGTAAAGATGGATGGGCTATCCGAATCATACGTGAAAGAATTGGAAGACCAAAAGAAGCGTGCCGATGAGTTGGTTGCAGTACGGTTTGGTGGCCGATTTGGAAGATCCAAGAATGAGAAAAAGAATGAGAAAAAGGAAGAAAAGAAATCTACCAAGAAACGATGGTCTTTTGCTGCATTACCAAGCCGGTCCTCTGTTTCGGCGTCGGCATCATTATTGCAGCAAGCAGTATTCAGTGCAAGCGACATCTCAGCCCCGTCTTCGGACACAGAGTCAAATACTACGTCTTTCGTTGCTTCAACAAACGTTTCCAAGGAATCTACTGGCATTTTACATCAACAGATCGAGGATCTTGTCACAGCACTGTCTCAACTTCAAAAAGAGCACGCCGAAGTTACAGATCAGCTTGTATCTATTAAAATGGAAAAAATGGATCTGGTTAACGAGATAGAAACATTAAGAAATCGTGTTAGAGAATTCGAAAGAGGAAACAAACGCACATCGACTGCATCTTCACTGTTCTCTCTTGACTCGGCCATTGCATCCAACGAGGGCGGCGACGCTCCCTCGCGACGGACTTCTGTTGGATCGTCATCCAGTTCTACAAACAATGTCAATGAATCCGACGTTACTCCGCGCCAGTCTACCGAAGTGCCTAAACCACGAAGTGTGTCAGAGGCAGATGCTTTGGTGAAACCCCGTCGCTCATCAGCTTCATCATTCATGTCGCTGTCTCGCTTGACATCGTCATTTTCTTCCGCAGCATCTGACATGTCTTTTGTATCGCGTCAATCTTCTACTAACACAATAACTAGCACATCGGGTGTATGTGATGGTAACGAATCATCTTTCGACGATCAGGGTTATCACTTCGTCTGCCCGGATGACTGCGAGCACGCTAGGCGTACTGAGGAACTTGAGCACTTGTTGGCTGATCTCAAGCTACGTCTGGTGGAAAGTGAAAATGCTCGAGATGACATGAACTCTCAATTAGAAGGATTGAACATGTTGATTAATGGGTTTACTGAAGAAGACGATCCTGCAATGACGACTATAATGGCATCATCACCAGCTCCTGGAAAACGGGGATCTTATGAAAAACGAGGATTGAGAAATTCGATAACTACTTACTTTAATGCTTAATTACATATAAGGCTTGCTCCCGTCCCTGCATTGAACTTGAAATGACTACTTGTCGAAGTTCCTCTTGGGGATTTCGAATTGGAGAGAGCATGGGATGTATGTTGCTCGTGTGGACCAGTCAGGTGCCACTTATGTCGTGAAGCTTGTATCAATTACGAGAAGAGGCGTTTGCTGCGTGCTTGTTCTTCAAAGGATGTTGTCTTTTAATCCCCATCACTCATATACATAGTTTCCGACCGTTTTTTATTTTTTTAAAAAAAAGTCAAAGGGGAGATTTTCTTCCTCTTTTTGTAATATTTACTAAAAAGGGAAAAGACTAGTATCAAAAATATATTATTTGTAATTTTGTGTAAGAGTGTATATCAGTCTTCTCCCGTATCTGTATTTGTAAAACGATTCGGTTAATGGCTTGAGGGTCTCTTTGACTTTAATATTCTATCTCTTCTGGCACCTCTGCGATTTTCCCTCTTATTTATTTGTTTATTTATTCTGAGTGTTATCTGGATATGATTGGTATCTGTTGGGTAATAGATATGAAATAAATATAAAAGTTTTTCTTCAAGATCATCATTGGTCGGTGGTGGTGTAAGTAGTTGACTATGAGTTGACAAAATTGATGATATCGAGGACTTGACGAGGAGGAGAGGAAAGCAAAATTTGAAGAGCAACATACAGTCCAATCCATAGCGTTGATCCGCTATCATATACTATTGCTGCGTTTGTTAGGTAGTAAATTTACTCGTCCCAACGAATTATTGTCGCAATTTTATTAGACAGTCGTAAAGTGAAATCGGTCGTTATATGCAGTGGTAGTACAAATATATATTATGTAATGTCATTATTGTAATAAACAGCAGACTTGAATAAAATTTTCAAAATATCACTATTATGTTGAATGGTGTACTGTTACTTCCATTAGCATAATTTTGAATTCTTTTCCTCTCTCCTTTCTATTACAGTTTTGCTGCTTTATCGATTGTACTACCGATCACTGTAAAAAGAGTAATTTATTTATTAATTGACCAGTCGGTCGGACTTTTGTATAAAGAAATACTAAGACTGGTCGGTATAAACAGCTG